TGTCTGGACCAATTACACATGTAGATAGCTAAAAATATAAAAATATTTGAATGAAAAATTTAAGTGCAAAACCGACAAGTTGGTGTATTTATGACGTTCTTAGCCACATTATCCACCTAATTGGTTTGCACATATGTATGTACAAATGTATTTGAATTATATTTAGTTGACCGTTTGTGTATGTAGCAAACAAATGATAAGCCAATCAAATTATGGGAAACCACGCATTTTCAGTTTACGTTTGCATATTTTGAAATTTTATTAATTAATCGATACATCCGTAGATAATTGTACATGAAAAAACAGTACTCATAAATAATGAATGATTTTAAAATTTGGAATTCTGAAAGTCTAATGTTTAGAAAATGTTACCACAAATTGTCCAACTCGTTTGCTACATACCATACCACGTATAACCATAACCAGGAAGTAGAGCGGGTCTTATATATACCCGATCACTTGCAACTTCGGTCTCGAAATGGTCAACAACAAGTTTTGAAATCTGAAATTACTGTGGAATAAGGTAAATATATCTGGCTACATGTCCCTAAAATTTCATAAGTTTTCCTCGAAAGAAAAATTTCCTTTACCATTTCAAAACGACTAAGTCGGGAAACAAGTTTTTGTAAGTCCCAAAATTTGCTCGTCATTGACTCGTTGAAGGCCTGACTACATTTTAACTGAGAGGGGTGTGGCCGTGCAAAAATTAAAGCATACATAAAAAAGTATGGAGAATCCGAAAATGTCAACCCCAAATACGCAGGATGAGAAAAAACCATCATTTCGGCTCATTCGAAAATGAAAAACGAAAAATTTGTTTAAGAAAATTATCCAGCCACGTCGGTGCCTGATGCGGCCATGAAGTCAAAGATTAGTACAAACCACTTGTATCATATTAAGGCCTATAAAAATGGGGTCAAAGCATATGCAAAGAAATCTCCAGGAAAGTAAACGGGAACTGAAGAATAAATGGTAATCGCACGACCTCCCAAGCTATACAACAAAATCTCACCAAAAAAGTTGGTCACTGACGACGAATCATACGTTCTTAAAAATGCGACAAGAACACCGGGAACGCAATTTTTTCATGTGAAATATATCTCTCTACTTAAAACCGTAGAAAAATTCAAACGTTTTTCGAAATTTCTCAAAAAAACTCAGGTTTGGTTGGCGTTCGGTCAATTTGGGCACGTTTCGGACCCCTCACTTCATATGGGCTGTGACGACGCACAGGTTTGTCTTCGGAAATGTGTGATAGGCCGTCTGATTCCTTTCATCAATGAGTATTATAAAATATGAAATGTAATTTTTTTGACCTACCTTGGACCAATCCATAATCCAACAACTACCAAGCAAGAAATCGAAAAAAACTTCAGTTTGACGTCGAAATATGGGAACCCCACAAAGATCCCTCATCTTCGCTCAATAAAAAAATGTCGCCTATATGTAAGAAGGAATACATGCAGCTTTGGGAAACAGTCGATACTTTAAGAAAATTTTGGTCCCGGTTGCAGAAAATTAGAAATGAAGTTGCAAAGTCTTCCGAAAAATTTGTGGTGGTGGGTATGAAGAAAAAAGTTAAATGCAAAGTGGATAATGGGTTAAAGTCTTCTTTGTTCCTGGATATGTTTGGCTAGATATATTTTTAGTATTCGGTAAAAATTTGAGATTTCAAAACTCATTTTTCACCATTTTCAAGCCGAAGCTGCAAGTGATCGGGTACATATAAGACCCGCTCTACAAGGTCATCAACACAATTGTTGCCCTACACATGGGTTAGTTTGAGGAAACTCCTCATGTGAAGGAGCAGCCTCATGACCCGCAAATCGTTGCATCTAACAAATATGATTAACAAATAAACCGTAGTAACGTTACAAGTAGCTCACCCTGTCATAATGATTTGCATATAACTTTCCACCAAAGGTACGGAATAAGCCGACAAAATAGATTATCACTCTCATAGATTCTTGCACCAATAGTGCAATATAAACGGAAAAATATATTTTAAAAATCCGGAATTAGTTTGCACCACTAGTGCAACATTAGCGACCAACGGGATACAAAGTTTTGAAAACTTTGAAAAAATCGTATGGTTTTTTCTCCCGACATTCTGCAACATTGGTGCATAGGGCATCCCTTTCCCAATTATGTATTATCAAATGTATATATTTTAGCGTCAATGGTGCAGAATAATCGAACAAATGGACATGATTTTGGAAGGGAAATAGACGGCCCAATTGTTATGCATCATTTTTAATAACCAATTGCTCGGTACTAACGGTACTACTTATTCCAAAATTATAGTCCTATCTCGATCTATTTGCTGAATTAACTTGCACCATTTGCGCTCGGATTGTTCTATACCAATGGTGGGACCAAACAAGTCTATAATGGACAAGGGGATTTTTAATCAGCATCAATTGCTGCAAAAAACTCGTCAACGGACGGACGGACGGACAAGAGGAATTCAATAGCTCCCGTGCTACGCAGGGTGAGCTAATAAGGATTAAAGATCTGAAGGGGTCTAAATTAGTGCAAAATTCCCCCTTAGCTCGCCATCTTTCGTAAAGCTTCCATTGGGTGGTATAATTTTTGAGTTATTAGCTCGCCCTGCGTAGCACGAGAGCTATTGAATTCCTCGTGTCCGTCCGTCCGTCCGTCCGTTGACGAGTTTTTTGCATTAATTGATGCATATTAATAACTCCCTGCTCAATTTTTTCATAAATTAATAGCACCGTTGGTATCTGACAATCGGAAACACCAAATGATGCGAAAGAATTGGGGGCTTTGATGCATAACGCACCAATAATGCATACTACTCGGCGGATTTTATTAGACAATTTTGACATAAATTTTTCAAAATTATCGTTGATCGTTGGTAGGTAATTCTGCACCAGTGATGCACAATTTTTGGACGTTCCTCGATGCATAATAATTATTGATCTATTTTGTTTAATTTTTCTGCACCATTGGTGCAATATTGATAAACATTATTGATCTACTTTGTTGGATTTTTCTGCACCATTGGTGCAGAAAAATCCTCCCCAGCACGGGAGCTATTGAATTCCTCTTGTCCGTCTGTCCGTCTGTCTGTTAACGACCTTTTTGTATCAATTGATGCTAATTAAAATGTACCAGGTCCATTTTTTAATAAATTAATAGCACCGTTGGTATCTAACAATCACTAACACAAAATGATGCGAAATAATTGGTGGACGCGATGTACTACTCACCAATAGTGCAGAATCTCCGGGAGAAAGAGTCATACAATTTTGACATAAAGTTTTCAAAATTAAATCTGGCCAAGTAATCGCTCATGCTGCGCAGGTGATGCATACTAATTCGGCCTTTCCATAATTTTTCCGTTTATATTGCACCCTTGGTGCAAGAATATATAAAAATTATGGTCTCTTTTGTCGGCTTATTCCGTACCTTTGGTGCAAAGTTGTCTAAATCATTATGAACCTTATTTTGTCGCATTATTCTACACTATTGATGCAAAAAAAATCTTAAAATTCTGCACCTACATAATCCGATCATAATGCACCATTGGAACCAAATTATAAAGTTTTATACTTATTTTGTGCACTCATTCGGCACCATTGGTGCAAAATTATATACATCCTAATTTATATTGCCGGGTGAGCTACTTCTAACGTTACTACGGTTTATTAATTTTCTATTATTAATTTTATTGGATTTAGTTAGACTTATTCGCCAATTTACTCGATTACACAGTTGATAGTAACTAACAATATATAGCAAAGAGTTTAAAATGGTTGAATGAAGAATTTAACTGCAAAATCGACAAGTTGGTGCATATGTGAAGTTATTTGCCACACTACTCACATAGTTCACGCGGCGAACCCAACTGGCATTTGAGATTTGGACGTGCCAGAAAGGGTTCGCAGAAAGTGCATAAGGAAAAACGCATTGATAGAGGGTTCATTTCTCCCCCTTAATCGGTAGTATTCACGCAGCACGTGGTAGCTGCTGCCGGGCCAAGCAATGTGTGCTTCGCCCCACGACGGTGGTGCACCACCCTGCCTCACCACCACCACCACCAATCCCCACATATCCTGGCATCAAAAAATTACGTTGAAGTGACATACGTGGCGTGGGCACCCCAATTTGAGCATATTCTCTCGAATGTTGGAGTCGCGTCTCCCCAAATTTGATGCTCTAAATGGCAGTGCCGACGCCACCTATGTGACTTCAACGTCATTTTTGATGCCTGGATATGTGGGGATTGGTGGTGGTGGCGGTGAGAGTTGCAGCCACCACGTTTGGCAGCTGGAACGAAATAGTGTGTGCTCCAAAAATCTCACTTTTTCATCTGTTTTACGTGTGCGTTTTTTCAAATACACTTTCCAGGAACTCTAACTGTGCTTCAGTTAGAGTCCTCGCAGGAACTACTACTCAGACTCACATACAGCACCCAAGCATAAATTTGAACCCGGTCGTATGGTGTCTAAACTCTCTGGCGTATCAATAAATTTCATTCAGCCATCGTGTTTGGGTTTATCCTACGCACAATTTAACTGGCGTCCCAACAGTACCAAGTTGCGTTAAAAAAATCTAATGGGTGTTGGTAAGTACTCATATCTACAAAAAAAACATACAATTTTGCTGCAAAACTTTAAACCCGTTCCAGATTAAAAATTGTTTTATAACGAAAGGGCGGTGAGACAAGGATTTAGCAATAATTTACATTTATTCGAGTCCCCCTACGGGCAAAGAAAGCTAAAAAATGGGAAATAATCGGAAGTTAACCTAGACGCACTGTAAATTTCCACGAGCGGAACCTGGGGTCCATAAAAATTATTGCTATTGACAAATGTAACAAAAATTTACGACCGGGTTTTAACTTATGCTTTCGTGCTGTAATTAATTTGTACATATGTATGCATATGCATTATATTTAGTTGACCGTTTGTGTAACAAGCAACGCACGATACGCCAATCAAATTATGCGAAATCATGAATTTTCGGTGTGTTAATACGTTTGCAAATTTTGAAATTTTATTAATTAATCAATATATGCGTAGCTAATTGTACAGAAAAAATCAGATCAAAAGAAAAAATACTCAATGAATGACTTTAAAATTTGGAATTCTGAAAGTGTAATGTTTGGAAAATAAAACTCGTTTGTTACCATCCCACGAACAGCCTGAACCTGGTAGTACAACGTCATCAACACAAATAGGCAGCCCGACAGTCATCCGTACAATGAACTTCACAATCATCTGAAAGTAGAGAGGAAGCCTCATGACCCGCAAATCGTCGCATCTGGTAAATATAATTAATAAACTGGGATTAAATATATGCAAGGTGAAGTAAATACATGGGTGCAAAATACCGCCTTAGCAAAAAATTTAAGGTAAAACTTACTGTTGGATGTGCAGCAGAATCTTCTCCATGGTCTTGTCTAGCAGGAAGTCCTTCGCCCACTGATCCTGTAGCCGCAACGTAGGCGATGGCGACAATCAAGACAAGGGCAGGAAGAATGGTTTTCATGTTGGCAAATTTTTGTGAGAATATGACGACTTGAGGAAAATATGGGAGTTGAGATGCTGATCGTATGTATTTTACGAATGGTTTAAACTGGAATGATTGTCATGGCAAAGCTGATTCCCTTTTTATATTGAACTTCGGGGATAAAACAGGATTGTTTTATCGGGGTGATTTTAAATCGATTTACAAGGGCATTAGTATATATTACGAACATAATTGGTCCCGTATAGTAAAAGGCAAGGTTTTCGCCAGAAATTTCCCCAGAAATGATGTGATTTAGACAAGACGTTGTTGCTGATGCCGAAGACTAAATCGATTTTAGGCTCTACTATGCATATCAATTCCGACTTGTCCAAACCCATTATTAATCTTAGAAAAAATTTGCCTAATTATACTCACGGTAGAGTCTTCATCACTTTTCCAATCTGTAATATTGTTAGTTAAAAATCGATAATTACCTACTGCAATTAGTACCTAGAGGTCGTCAATAAGTTACGTCCGGCGAATGGGATTAGGGGCTCCAACGATGTGGTACTTTAGTGACATTTGTCAAAGGGGGGAGAGCTGTCTAGATATTTGCGATTTTCGCGTGACAAGATATGGATGTCCCCATAACTAGGATTAGGTAGTAATCATTGGCCTACTGACAAGAGAACCTTTAGTACTGTCACGCCTCGATTTTCTTACGAAATGAAAATACTCTTGTACACAGCCCTTTTGAACTGAAGGGTCCCAAAAATGCCCAACTTGACACAATGCCAGCCAAGTCGGGATGTTCTTGAGAAATTTTGAATAATATTTCTATTTCTCCTCGGTAGTCACTTGACAGATGTATTTCCCCTAAAAACTCGCCTTCCCGGAGTTGATGTCACGTTTTTGAAGACGTAGGACTGGTCGACAACTTATGAAATTTTGGTTGTGCGTGGTTAGAAATGTTTAAATTAAATGGTTAAATTAATTTAGCTATGATGTCCGGATACGTATTTATTTGCATTTGTATCAACACATAATTTGTTTGCATATGAATAAATTCCAATTAATAACAATTACAGAAGCACATATGGAACTCAAACCTTGGCCTGTAAAATCAAAATATATGTAACAATTAGTATTTACTCTTCTCAATTAATCATAACTCTTACATTGACATGGGTCGCGAAAACGAGTTCTTCATCTCCCCCGGAAATAAATACCCTCGCCAAGCCATCCCCACCAACTGTTATCTTTCTCCCGGTGCAGGCCCCATTCACAATCTCGGCAGTCGTGATGTCACAATAATCCCCAGCGGGGAGGCACGTCTGATAAAAAAATCGAATTTATTTAGACTCTTAAGTACAATACCCGTTCAAAAAAATTTTGTCATTCAAAATTGTTAAAAATTATTCATTCAGTATTCATTAATCCAATATTTTAAAATAAATATTTATTCATTATTCAATATGCATTTTTAATTCATTTTATTCCACTGTCGCGGGAGTTCTAAAAATAGCCAATTTACTAAGCATATGATGAAAAATGAATTAGCAACAAAATTATTCGTTCATTCTTCATAAAAATGAAGTGAATTGAATTCACGCATTGTCACAAAATTATTCACTTATTATTCACGAATATGAAGTGAATAATAAGTATATTCGATATTTATTCATTCTAAAATTAAACAATATATATTCATTCATTATTCACGAATTTATTGAATAATGAATGAATAAGTTGTTCATCTTCAACTAAAGAAATGAGTGAGCACAGTTATGGTGACCACAAATATTTTGTTACCTGAAGATCCCTGTCCAAATCGCTGCCTTCATTATTTAACGCGATAAATCCCAGGTTGCCCCGACAAAAGGAAATCTGATTGTTCCCATTGTCCCACCAATTTTGAACGGGAGCGTTCCCCACCAAATTTCGAAATGCCACCATGGTTTTAATCTGTCGCCACCGGTGTTCGCATACCCATCCGTTGGTACATGTTTCCTCCGGCGTGATGACGACGTCGTCCGTGGCGCCATCCGTGTTAGGGGGACCGACCCAGGAGTCCGCGTCGTCACCGGACCACACGTACGACGACATGACTTTTGCTTGTCCGTATGGCCACGCGAGCATAAAGGCGTTCGCAATTTTGTAAAGTTTCGGTTGCAAGTGAGACACGATGTTTGTTCCGCCGGCGCCATGACCACGTTGGTTGTCGTGGTTGTCGACGAATGACATGGCATAGTCGGAAGGGTACATTCCTGCAGGTTCTCCTAAAAATTTGGTAAATTTTTTGGCATGTTATTCATATAGCAAATAACTTGCGAAATTATATTGCAAAATAAACACGCAGTTTGTTGGGGTACATTTTATTTAAAAAATCCCGTGAGTTTTCCGTTAATTGTTTTTTTTTCATCGCGTAATTTTGGAAAAACTTATTTGTGTACAAATGTCAAGTTTTCAAAGTTCATTGCCGACCATGCGAAAGTTCGCGTAAGTATTATGCGTTTCTTGGGTAATGGGCCCCCCGTTTCAATTTGAATGCTGCCCGCCACCATGAGAACTTACGTACGAAATGAAACAGCGGCAAAATCAGGGGGGCCCATTACCCAAAAAACTCATAATATGAATGCCCAATTTTACTCTAATTTAGTTTTGTAGTTTATGCAAATTAAAAATGCGGTCCTTCTTACCAATGTTTGCCAAATCTTTCAACTGTCTCCGACCAAATAACGCTTCTCCGAGGTAAAGTCCATATTTGAACTCGGTTGCCCTCCCACTGCCAAAATAATCCGATCCCGCCATCGGTTCTTCTCCCAAAATTATAATTTCCTGAAAGATGAAGGGTCTCGAACCAGGCGGGAATCCGTGCTGCCAAGCCAAATCTTTCAATCCGTCCGCAATAGATTGCATATCCTGGGGCCAAATTTGTTTCGCGGCATCAATTCGGAATCCCGCAACGCCAAAGTCGATAAGATAGTTCATGAAGGCAGTAATTTTTTCGCGAACGGAGGAAATTCCTTGATTCAGGTCGCGAAGCCCACCAAGCTCACAGTTTCGTGACTATAATAAAAAAAAGCAGAAATGTTACAATTAAAAAAAACAAATTTCGGAAACGGCAATCCAATTTATTTCTAACGATAAAAATAAATACTGTAATATTTATGCCCCGAATCTACTTGAATGTAAGACAACCTCGCATGTCTCGCAAATTAAGCATAACAACATAAGCTAGCAACATAAGTTCTGCAAAATTTATTGTATTTCTACAAAATACAATATTTCTACAAAATACGCAGGAAATTTGGAATATGAAAAATATGCCAGCCTTTCGGTGCGTTTTCTCCTCTTTTTATGCAAATATCTCCGCCAAACCTGCGTATTGGAAGATAGTTCCATTTGCAAATTTCATACTAATTATATTTGTGATCGATTGACACTAGTTTGGTCCACATCTGTGAACATACGTTGGGAAACCTCCATTATAAGTTATCCACGCTCATCCCTCACCTCAACTGGATCCTGATGATTCTCAATATCGCCCGAAGCTGTCGGACAATGTTCCGCATTATGGAAATCTTGCGGTCCATAAGGAACAGTGGGGTATTGTTTGTTCGCCGAGTTAAAGCTGCTTCCCGCCGTGCCTAGACCCGCCGTGGTCCGATGGGTCATATGATTGATCACACAATCCACGATAATCCTCACACCGACGTTGTTGCATCTTCGAACCATGTCGCCAAATTGGGCTTCAGTCCCAGACCGAGTCTGCAGCAGGTAGGACACGGGTTGATATCGCTCCCACCAGGGACGATACGGATCCAAAATTACGGCATTCTCGTTAACCGGAGAAACCTGTTTTTAATTAATGAAAATTTTTCACGTGTTTCTCAAAGTATGTATACACTCTTAGAAATCCGGTATTCAAATCATACCAAGCGGTATTCATATCTGGGTCTACCAAAGTTGTAATCATAACAAACACTGCATAGTAACAGCTCAGTATTAAAATTTCACCATATTGGAAGTCAATTTTTAGGGACCGGTATAACTTTAATACCGAAAAATTAATACCTGTCTGACTTTAAAAAATATCTAACAGTGTAGTAATTTCAGCCAAACTTACTTGAACCCCCGCATATCCCGCCGGACCAAGAAATCGTTCACATTCTGCCGCAATATCGGTCCACTTCCACTCAAATAAGTGAACCATGGTGGTCCGATTTGTCGCAAAACTGGGCATGTTGTACTGTCCATGAGCCAAAGACAATAGATAGACGGATAGGGCTACGAGAACCCTTGTAATTCTGAAGGATTCCATTGGTTTTATGCAAGATTTATGTACTTATGTATGTAATCCTTTAAATTTAGTTAATAAAAATAGACTACTGAAATTGTAGACCTTGTAACTCTTTATATATGCCTCCAATTTATCGTGATGTCAATCAATGTATAATCATAGATAACCCGAATACGTCCATTGTGCCAAAGTACAAATGTACCACGAGCTTTACAACTGTGGTAACTATCTAATTATTTATAAATAATCAGAATGAAGTTGTGACAGTTATCCATGAGTTGAATCACGTTGAAGGGAGGTGGGGTTGGTATATACAGATACGAGACAGGGTTTGTAGGTAAACATACATACAAACACATATACATTTGAATATGTACATTTACATATTTAAAGTAAGATCACTAAAGAAAACCCCAGAATTAAACTAAAAATTATAAGCGGTTTAAAAATAAACGATTTGAAAAATTATTAAGGATTGGAAATTCATGATTTGTAACATTGGTAACCAAACCTAAACAAATTAGCATCCACACAATCTTACGCACCCTGTAGGTCATATACATATGTATTTGTTTGTGGAATTTCTGATAAGATGGAACGCTTGGACAAAATCATATATTGGTACTTATTTATGTATCACATCGATTAAACTTTGTACCACTCAATATGTAAATATGCACATATATGAATGTAAGCACGACGAGATATACTAATTAATAATGTTGAGCTCACTTATGTATGTTTTCATACCACGATCACAAGCGTCGGATTGTTCATATCATGTATTCCTGATAACAAATAAATCTACCAATTTAACCCCAGATTATGGAATGAAAAATGTTTTTTTTAATTTAATGTTACATTTGTAAGTTAGTAATTTCAGATTGTTGTTTTTAGGTATTTGTATTTCTTGAAAATTCTAACAAAATTTGAATCGAGATTGGAAATTAACTTCCAAGCCAAGCCAAGTAGTAGCTTGTACCGAGGGTATAATTCCTTTCATTGGATAAAATCTGTCTCATTTTTTACACCGTGGGCCGATCTGCACGATGGATCATTTGGCATCTTTGGTGCTGTTACGTGGTTGGCAAGTTTGGATTATTTTGCGATGCAAAATTAGCATATGTATAGATATATAGATTTTGTAATTCGGAGTAGTTTTGTTGCGTAACAGTTAGGTTTTCTAAAATAATTTTTTCAAGGTGTATATATCCTAATGCACATATTGACGTCGATAATACTTTCGTTCAAATCGTAGATTTGCTCATAATTCTTTCCAAGAAACACATTATTTTCCTATTTGAATAATTTGGCTATACATGCAATTACATGTTAAAAATGATTTGTATTTACATATTTACATATATAATTCTTTCCTGAGCTAGCCTAGAAACAAATCATATAAATACGGAGACTCCGCCACTAACACGTGAACGTTTATGACCTTAAATTACTGGTTGAACGGCTTGGAGTGGAGGTCCCGAACATGTTCTATGTGAGAGCCCTTTTCTCGAACTACAAGTCGACATCGGCGATTCCAACTTTTGTACACTGATTTGACCATGGTGAGGTCAACTTTAGACTACTAGTCTCTCAAAACTTTCCAAACTCCGTCAAAAGATTTTGGGTGGCGGAGAAAAGCATTTGTTTCAGATATCCAAAGCCGAAAAAATCCATGGGACTTACATAGGGTGAATTAACAGGTATTTCACTATTTTGGATGATTGTTATCCCGAGTCTAGCTTTTAAGTCCTTGGCGTAATCCTGGGTCAAAAGGGCGGTGTGCGATGACGCTGCGTCGTGATGAACTATCACTTTATTTGTGTCCTAGCCATATAGTTTTGGAAGATGAATCTCCAAAAGCGGTTTTAAAACAAAGTCAATGAAGTACTTCGCAGTACCTTCACTTTTTGTGGAACTTTGATAAGTGGGAGGAGACCACGACCAGATAATGCACCAACCACCATGAACTTGTTGCAAAACTTTTCCGTGTGCGGGATGGCCAATCTTCTGGAATTAATTTCTCCTTTGGTTGTATAGTAAATTTGTCTCTGACCGTTGGTATCTTGTAAAGAAAATAATTCTTCATCCAACGACACTAAACAGTCACTTTTATCTTTTGTCAGGTAATTCACATAAATTATTTTGCAGGTCAGACGACGATTTTTTTTATGCTTCTCAGTCAGCTGATTGACTTGCATTTTTCTTCTTTTTTGCTTCCCCAAAACTTTAATTGCTCGTCGCACACCAGTCTCTGACACTTTGGTTAGACGTGCCACTGCTCTCTGGGGTGGTGGGTTGTCCTCAGAGGTCAATAGGTCAATTTTCTTAAGCACGGGCCGAATTAGCACTTTTCGGACTCGTGTTTGAGGCATGATGGTTGTCCTGTGGTACGAGCTTGTCGTTATTGACCTTCTTTTTTAAGTACCTTATGTATCCTTCCTTTCAAAACTTGTTGTCCTTGAGTTTTAAAGTGGTTAATTATGTCTGTGTACGAAATATTAAGTTTGGAAAGTGTTTTTATGGTACCCTCTTACTCAAAGGGCAATGGTAGGGTCATTTTTGAATCTAGAGAGCTAATTTTTTGCTCAGCCCTTGTCAACAATCACATGTCGCTATGCTCAAAATTTGGAACCGAAACTCCAACCCGTTTTGGAGCAATTCAAGAGTGACCGCGTTCACGTGTTAGTAGCGCATCCTGTATTTGCAAAATATGTGCATGCAAAATATATTTACATATAATTTAGCAACGTATATTAAAATAAGGCAAGGACTTTCGAAACTGGTGTGTTTATCAGTTCGATCAATATTAGTTAATTAAAAGTAATCATTTGAATTACTTGCCTGCTTTATAGACATCTTCAATTTATTATACTGTTGCATACATACTTGCTTCTTACATAAATTATGGTGGAGGATAATCACTCAAATTCAAATCATTCTAACTAGTATGCAACGCACCCAACAGGAAATATATTTCCTGTTTACCAAGTTATTCATTTGCATATGCAATGAAATAACATAAGCCGATCAAATTAATACTTTACTTACAAACATAGGTGCTTATTCCATCGAAAATACATGATATGTAGGAAGACCTGAAAGGTGTAAAGAATAAATTATATAAATGAAAACCGATACTGGGCTGTCTCTGGTAAATATTTTAACATTCCCCAGCCTGCAATACATTCCGATAAATTTTATACAACTGGCTTCCATTCTCACTGTAGAATCCGAATCATTGGATAGATATATATGTGATTGACATCGCTAACAAAATGGAAAAAATATTTCCAAGAATTCAAAACTTCTTCGTATTTGCAAACTTTTACAAATGTCTCTTTGTAACATACGATACAGAAAGGAATCTCATCGTACCGGCAAGAAAGCGTATTCAAGCCGTCGATTATGGTTGGATTGGCCTACACATTATCCAGTTTGTTTGCCAAGTAATCTCATTAGGGACGACGGAATCTACCCTGCCTCAACTCGCAATAGGAGTTACTTTGGCATTAGGATATTTTCTGGCATTGACATTGAGACTGGATCTTAAGAAGGATCCAGTTGTGGGTCAGATTTGGAACTCCCTGGCAGGGCAAGGTATCGATCTATACGGCTACACTTTATATCTTTTCTGCGTTTGAGTTCTTGGCTTTATGCAATTTTATGATAAGATAGGATCATAATTTGACAGTTGAAAAATTTGACAACAAAACCTTAAAGCTATATTGTAAAATATCTCTCTATTACAAAATAAATGTCATCTCCAATTTTTCACTGCAATACAGTTTATATTTTTCATGAATGTCTACACAAATGTTCCAAGCCTTAAAATGCACTAATCCTTGTAAGCACATGCATCACGCCTACAGGACTATGTTCAGTTGTATGTAACAGGTTGGTAACTATGTACATACGTTATTTTTTCCTTAGGACATGCATCTGGAAAGGCCGAAAATAGGGAACGAATCCTCTTCATCCTTTTGGCTTTTCTATTCGACGGGATTCTGGTACTATCGCTTCTAACTTCGCTTCTTGTTGCCGCCTTGACGTTATTCGTTCCATGCGTACCACCACTTCTAACTTCTTTGATATGCCGTCCAGCGAATAGCAACGGTTACAAAGTGCGATGGACGTATGGTCCTGTAGCCAAGATGGGGTTTGCAATGCTTGAATTCGTTCAATTTCAGGTAGCGGTCACGGGAGGTATTTATTATGTAATCTATTTCCTGACTCCCGCGATATCCAGGTTGTGGTTGGATTGTAAAGCTTTGTCAGAGAGCGGGAAATCTTTCGAAAATCAGGTCATTTCCTACCGAAGGGTTCAGATATACGAGAAAACTCTAAATTCTTGTATTCGAGACCGAATTTTCTTAACGTTAGCCTTACTTGGCCCACTATTTCAGGTTGTGTCAGGCTTCGCTCTTATTGAGCTTGCAAATACGCCAAACTATTCCACCCTTGTGGTGTGCGGAATGCTTTATTTTGCAATGTTGTGCTTGACTTTAGCCTGCTTTTCTGCAGCTGGTCAAGTAAACCAGATTACCGTTAATTGGATTACGGGAAGAAGAGTGATATGTAAAACGAGGGTAAATAGGAAGACGCTCAAGTCATTTGTCTCAGCCAGGATTCAGTTTGGCACGAATTTCGTAGAAAGATTAACCCCATTGGTAGTGCAACAATTTTGTGTTCAGGAGACAGTTTCGCTCATCCTAATGCGGTCGTAAGGATTTACAAAATTAAGTTAGTCACCCACTAAATAAACCAGTCGAATCAGATAATCAGGGACGAGGGTCCCTAGCAAGTTTGTCAGTACTCTTTGATACTTACCGATCATAATTAAATTTTTCAGTCATGTTTAAATATTTTGATATGCCGCTAACATTACATATGTATGCGTACTTACATACAGTGGGTTGCCAAAAGTATTGGTGGTCAATTTTGTGCTCGGTACCGTGTACGATATTTTTGCTAAGGGATAACCACAGACTAATTCTAAAGGCATTTTTTACAACCAAATAAATGGACAAGAAAATAGTTCAAACAGAATTTGAAAATCTTACCCCGTTCGGGGAAAATTGAGAAAAAACTTCAAA